TTGCTGACCTCCACGAGCCTGCGAGGCTCTGCCTGTTGGGATCCCGTCCAAGCACTGAAGCCTTCACAAGGACTGGGAGCCTCCTTCAGGCAGAATCCAGCCTTCAAAAAGCAAAATCCAGATGCAGTCAAACTCGCTACCAGTCCAAGAGAAGGCAAAGGTATAGAATTGAATATTTTTTCCTTTTTTACTGTACCAGTATTGTGGTCTAACTTTGGATGCATTTAAAGCCAATGGAAACACGTGAGTGTAGCTCAGGAAAGACTGACACTGAGTAAATCACAATTATTTCTGTCTTCTAAAACAGAATACAGGTTAATTAGCATTCTAATGTCTGAACCATCTGCAAAAGATTAGTTAACTAATGAGCCAAAATACATTGCAGCTTTTATGTGGGTACAAGTTGTTAACAAAGTAAATGCATTACAGTTTCCCTGAACACAGTATCAGCCATATGATCTTTGGGGCCATGAGCTATGCACGGTGTATTATCTTTCCTGAGGGGCTTCATTTCGTATAACCCTCTCTGTCTTCAGCTCATGGGGAGTATACAGAACATGCAGTACTTCATTTTGAGAGTATTTTGATGAAAGACTTAAGGGTCTGGGGTCCTGGAAGGAGGTGAGTTTTTAACAGGTGATGTTTTGTATTTGTTCCCAAGCCCTAGGAGAACCAACTCACATTCATGGGGTTTCTAGAGAACTTTGCTGTCAGGCTGGCTGCTCTGGAGAACTTGCCCTCCCAGATCTCCTTCCAATTCCTTGAGTCTCACATGGGATTTCTTGCTTTCTTTCCTCCGTTTTGGACAACTTGGCTTTTTGGCCTCTTTTTGATCACCTGTCCAGCAAGTAGAAGAGCTCCTGCCAGGTAAATCAATGGGTTTTGCAGCTGCTTGACTATCTCATGTGAGACAGGACCACACCTTGAACAAGCTGGTGTTGGAAGGTGTACCTTCTACCCTCCCATCACTGTCTCTCAGCCATACTTAAATGCATCTACACTGTAACATCTGGAAACCAAAAGATATTCCAAGCCAGATTCACCTAGGAGGTAACAAGCTCTTTTAGCAGTCCAAGAGAATTAACTGATGGCCTGGGAGGGATGTTTGTACCTGCTACAACACATATAATTACTTCTGGATTTTCAACCTCCTTTTCATTAATCAGTGCCAATATCCTGGCATTTTGATCCCAAGTAGAAGCAAGAAAAACAAAGATGAACTCTCATTTAGCATCTCTCTAGGACCTTTTCATAATAATCTATACCTATATAAGGAAAACCTGTCTATCTTCAAAAGTGAAATTTTGCAGCAAATATAAAAATGCAGCCCAGCTTCTAGAACAAACTCAATCTAAGTTAGGCCTGGCTCACATGTAACTCCAAACCTGGCTCAGAGCTTTTACTCTGTGGATAGATGTGAGTGAAGATGAAGCCTGAAAAGGAGACGTGCTGACTGTGCTATACAGATGCCTCATGAATGCCACCTTGCTCAGGGCAATCTCTCACGTGAAGAATGCCAAAGGGATAACAGACACTACATGAAGACTGTAAGGAACTACTAGGATTAAAACATTTAAAACAACAGGAACAAAACAAACATGATGGGACAAAAATTGACAGCAACTGTTCCAAAGAAACACCATAGAATGGGAAATAAAGCATTCCTCCTTTGCCATTAGGCCCATAAGAAATTCGTTCTACATGCAGTTGGGATGAAAAAGAGGAAATAAAAAGAAATGTTAGGAATTTTTGGAATCATGCCTAGCAGAGGGATGTTTGGAGCTGCAAAATTATAATGATTGATGCACTTTTTCTTTCTTTCATTTTCTCTTATTTCTCTTAGAAGTATGATAAATGGCTCCCTCACATGCCAACAAATTACAAGACAGGTAGGATGTTCCAGTTTGTTTGTTTTTATAATACCAAAATTAGGATACAAGATTGCTGTTAAAAAAAATAAATAAATAGAATCAGACTTGCATCCTAATTTCCGTATTTGCAAGACAGAAAACAAACAATGGTGTGAGTGTGATGGAAAACATCTCAAAGCTGTGAGAAAAAATCCACCTTCTTTGGAGGGCCCCAAGGCACTTCAGAGCCTGAACCACACTGGATGCAAGACTTGCTTTCTGGACCACCTGCATTGCATTCATGAGCTTCTCTAAAGATACCTACAGCAACTGCTGATATGTGAAATGCTGAATCCAGTTTGACCTGACTTAATAAATGTAGTAGCCAAAATCCTTGGGCCTTGTCTGCTGTCAGTTGTTATGGCTTTGATTCTTTGGGCTAGTCTTGGCTCAGAAGCTGTGTGACCAGCTAAATTCATCAGTAAAGGCTCAGCTAGTTGCCAGTACTCAGAGAACATGTCTCTGCACTAGGTTATATCAACAGGCAAGTATAAGGCCACACATACTATTCTGGTCAAAATATTTTGATCACAATATGTTTAATAAATAATTAATTCAGCTGGACCATCAATCAGAGTACTTAGAATTATTATTCTTCATGAGCGTAACACGAAGAATTTGCATGGCCACTGCTGAAAGGAACCATATCACACCTCTGGTGCGACTCAGATCCCATGTAAGTCTGTAGATTGTGGTAACATCTGCTGTGTGCAGGTAAATTTGCATGATGCACTTTGCAGGTGGCCAGTTCATGCCTTGAAGGAGTATGGCTGTGTGCAGTGCCCAAGCTCTGTTATTAACTCAGGTCTGTATTTTTTCAGTGTTCTTTTTAAAGGAAAGTCTCTGAAGATAGTTTACCTGACAATTGGCAAAGGCATGTGACAGCTGCAGGTCTGGGCTCAGAAATGCACGGTTTGTGCCCTTTGGCTTTGCCTTAAATTTGGTGCTTGCCAAAATCTGACTCTGAATTATTTGGTAAATTAAAACGTGCACCTTTTGCAGGACTTTCTCAAAGCTGGCTTCCCACCCTTCCCAAGCAACAATTCCTCTTGGAAGACATGAAAATATTTTCCCATCAGAGCTCCCTCTGCAAGGATGGATCCAAGCCAGGGTAATACCATACTCTGCAAAGCTGTGCATTTCACATGGCACAGGATGAGCACCCCTTCCAGATAATGCTCTGTGAAACCAATGGGTACACCACAGCAGCCCCCCTGCCATCACCTAATACAACACAAACATTCATATTAAGTGGATCAGTCAAGATCCAGTGTCTAAATGCAGGGCTCATGTGATTAGATTCTCCCATTGCTGCTCAATGGGAGCTGGGCATTTTACTTCCCTGCACATCACTCTGAGTGTTTGTACACCCTTCCCTCCACCTCCCCCGCCTCCTTGCCCAAAGCTTTTATGATTAACATGGCAATGGAGATTGAACTGTGTGCATACATTGATTTGCTGGGTGGGCTGGCAAAGGAAAGCAAATCCAAGCTACTTACCTCAGTGCAGACCCCTTTGGCGTTGCAATGCCATAGCCTTTGGAGTCCAAGTTACCTCCCACCTTCATGGTGTCACAGGGCTTCCGCTGCTCGATGTACTCGTTCATGGTGGACTCCAAGAGGTAGGCATACTTCCCTTTCGACTTCCTCACCCGGATCATCCCCTCTTCCGTCGTCCTCACAAAAACAGAGGGTTCGGCTGACTTCATGTATGTCCACATCTTCTCAAACACTGCTATTTTGGATCGCTGCATAGGACAGCAGAAACCCAACAGAAGTGTTAACAGAGGTCTGGGGGCCAGCTCAGATTTCCAGGTGTGACTGAACACTTACCCACATACCGGATGGGACAAGGAAGACAAACAAGGTAACGGGATGTTAATGAACCTCTGGCCATTTCCTGCACCAGGGCCCAGATCATTACCTAGCCACAGGAAGGGTAGGATACTTGTGTATGGCAAGTGGTTCTACTGATTTACCAAGGGCAAACCAAGGTGGAAGTCAGGAGATGTCTCTAATGTGGGGAAGCACATGGATATTCCACATTTTTATTTACAGTTGCAGAATATCACATGCTGGAGACACTGCCCGCCTTCAGAGCAGCCAGGGGAAAACTGGATTTTTGCTGTCCTAGGGGCAACTCGTAAAGTCCTAACATGGTAATGGTAAGCAAGAGAAAAAACAGACCTGGGCTGAGGTGAGTAGGACATTCCTGGAAGACTTGCCAAACAGGGGGCTAAGAAAAATGTTTCCATTAAAGTTTCCTTTTTACCCTAAAAAACTCTTTAGTGGAACCAGCTTCCAGGGTCCCATAGGCGATTTCCGTCTGCTTGGCCAAGTCCTCTGCACTCTCGATGGGAGAAACCATCCTTTCCACCGTGAGGAAGGCAGCCAGGTTAGCTGTGTAGGAGGATATGATGATCAAGGTGAAGAACCACCAGACGCCACCGACTATGCGGCCGGAGAGAGACCTGTGCACAGAGGGGAGAGTCAGACTGGAGGGGTGAGAAGGTCTAGAAGATGCAGCTTGCTCTTGCAGGCCCATTATCTACCCAGGCATTCACCCGAAGACACATTTTCCAGCTACTTCCAGGGAAGCCAGGGGTCTGTCTCAGTTCTTAATCTGTTTTTCAAGGTGTCAATGTAATTAGAGGAAGAAAAAATTTCACAGTGGAAAAAAAATACTCGAGAAACAGAACAAACCTGTGTTGATTTTCAATTAATTTCAGGGTATATAATAGCATTAATAATAAAATGTGTAGACAACTACCAGGAAAGTTTAGCTGGACAAGACAATGCCCATCAGAGCAATAGTTCTGGTGAGGTCTGTTTTATGGCATGTACCTACAGCACGAAGGAGCACCAGCATGGAACCAGACAAGATATACAAACCATATTTCCATTGCCTGAAGTTTAAAAATCAAAACTCAACATTTTTCTAAAAGACATATTGAAGCTCAGAGAGGAGCTACAGCCTTAATGAATAATTTGCCTACTGACATTTTCTGGTTTGTGCTCAGCAGAGGGCTAGACAAGATGTTCATAATAACGCCTTAAAATCCAAGTATCTTGCACTTGCTGCAACCAAATTGCCAATTATCTGTAACCATTGGTTAACTATGGAGATAAATAAGTCAAACAAGCATTAGTTTTTATTAAAATCTTTTCAAAGCATTTTTAGGAGTAAAAGATAATTTTTAGAGTGGTCAGAAATCACACATTCTGCCTTAATTATTTATACACTCCTTCTCTAAATGCAGAGCACTGTCCCAGACAGAAGAAAACTTATGATGCTGTTTTACAAAGCCAGACTGAATAGGGAGGGCTTGTCCGTGAGAAATGCTGTTCGTTTCTTTGTAGTAGTCCAAGTATTAGTGTGGCTTTTCTGCTGACCTAAGTCACTGCCCAGAAACATGGTTTATCAGATGGTAATGGAGATATCTCATTCCAGCTAAGGGCACTGGATCAGCTCATGTCAGCATGTAGCATGCCATGCCTGGGTTTGTGTGAAGCCTTGGGTCCAGCTGCTATGATTTACTGTGAGCTAACACAACTCAAAAAACAAACCTGCATGTTCCGTTGCTCCAGCGAGAGAAAAATCCTGTACTGCTAATCACGAAAATTAGTGCTGGAAAGAGACTAAACCCACATGCTCATCAGCTTCAAAACTTACCAAGATTATGCATTTCTAGTTTGTCCTGTGTGGTTTTAAACACTGCCGATGTGATGGGAGCAGCTCCCCCAAAACACGGGGTAATCTCTCCACTTAAATCAACCTGCCCTGAAACCTTTGTAATCAAAACTTTTTGAAATCACTTCCTAGCAGAAAGAAGGCATCAAGAGCACAGTGACAGGACTCCTACACCTGCATTCACAGCACCCAGGGCAAAGCAGAAAGCACACATTTTCACGTGTGGACATAAAAGTCATCCCAGCATGCACGCTCTCAGTCCCATGCTCCTGGAGACTGATTACAAACCAGCTCCTATGGTTAGAACTGGGTTGGGGTTTCATCTTTTGAAGCAGAGCCTCTGCTTACTTCCTCCAATGGGCATTTTGGAGTCAAGACAGCAAAGTCCATATCACCATAAACCCAAGTGCCCAAGTGCAGTGAATGACTTTGAAGGATCCACCCCTAAAGTTCTTTTCAGATAGTCTACAGGACCTATCTCCAAGGTGCTACTACAGAGAGTTTACAAATTATTTTCCTAACCACCCACATCTTAAAAGGAAAGACAGTTATGGAAAGATTTCTTCAGGTCTATAGCCTGGTTTCCAACTATCAGCCATATGCTTGTTACCTTCTCCTGCAGTGTCTCATGCAAACCTCCTCCTTAGCTGGCAACTGCAGCAACATTGCCGACCAGACTGATGGTCCCTAATTTCTTGTTACGCCTCCCCCTCACTGCCAGACAGAGAGGGGGCTCAGAAGTTTGTTGTGGGAGTGCTGGATCCCATGGAAAGTCTGGAAGATTGGCACTGTTCTTCTACCCTACCTTCAGCTCTCCAGGAGAGACGTACTCACCAAACAACCCATGAGATGAACGGGGAGGTGGAGATGAGGTCTCTCTGGTGACTTCCCTCTCTAATGAGTTTTGAAGGAACTGGGATCACTAGATTGGACCAGACAGTAAATTTTTAAGGAGCTGAAGTTAGAGGAGATAAATGTCACCACCATGCTTACCATCTGTGGAGAATACTCAGAGCGCCGACTGTCAGCACAAACATATTTACCTTTCGTTTCAGATTTGGAGAGGGATTGGAGAGGGAGGCAGCTATGGATTCAGCTCACATGCCTTCAGATTGATGGGGAAGAGGAAAAAAATACCTGTCTCTAATTAGTCTGGATGATGTGTGCTTAGGGAAGGAAGCGCTCAGAAAAGGCAGAGGCATTAAACAAAAGTAACCGGATAATGTCAAATACAACAATCTCTGCTGATGAAGGCCACTTTGAGCTGGCAAAATCCATTTGCATGGCAAATAATCACATTCATCTCCAGCTGCAAATTATACAGCCTTTCCTTCCTGACGAAGCTGGGATATTTCTGTTTCTTGTTTCAATCCCTTCAGCGGCAGTCAGCCGGATTCCTGCCTCTAGACCCTCGGCATCCGAGCAGTATTCATTACTGGCTTATCCCATGGGGGCTGCCTGCTGTCAGCTGCAGATGGCTTATGCTTCCCAGCTCCGCACCTGGCGGTGACAGCATGAAAAAGTAACTATGGCGTATTCAGACTGGGAGGCAACAAGAAGGGCTGGGGAAAGAGGGAGAGGGAGTAGAAGCTTCTTTCCCATGGGAGCAAGCTGGTATGGGATGTGTCTGTATCATGCACTGGTTTCATTTGGGCTGCGTACACTGCTCGTGCTGGTCATTTCTCCTCATTAAGCGAGATGTTGTGAGTAGGTGAGTGCTCAACTGCACAGACAGCAGAGGAAAGAAGAGGAGATAAACAGCTTGCTGTGACTGCCAGCATGGCTAGGGCTTCATCTGTATAATACTGCGCTGCAGACACCACTAATGGGCAGTGTTAGCCCTTGTTGCTAGACTGACTTAGAGCTAGAAGCTGTGAATCTAAACTGCTGGTAAACACACAGCAGAGAAATCACTTAGCATATGGGCTCTTCAGGACATCGTCCGTTCACTCCGCGGTGGTGCAGCATCTAACACAAAGGAGCTCTGGCTGGCGAGGGAGTCTCCTGGAGGCTACTGCTGTACAATAGGATGTATGATAATAGTCACAAGAAAACATGGCACAAGCAGATGCGATCCCATAGAGCATCTCCGTGGCTCAGTAGCAGTAAACACAGGCTGAACAGGACTGGATTTCTCTGGATAACCACATTGCCCATTCAGATTTTGAGCCAATGCCCACTACTGCTTACCAGAAGAAAGTGGTTGGAAAGACAATATCCATTACAGCCTTGTTCTGCTACTTCTGTACACCATGCAGGACAGCAGCAGTGCTACCATCCGGGGACACATTTGCAAAAGTGCCTTTGTAATTTAGGAGATAATATTCAATTTCTGGAAGTCATTTGAAAACTTGGGAGCTAAAAGTCTGGTCAGAAGCCAGTGGGACTTGGAGTTATGTTTATGCTCTAATAACAGCAGTTGCAGAGGAGTAGATATACCTTGTACTTTTAGGTCACTTTGAGGTTTTGAAAATCTCACTCCACAGCTAGGAAACAGAAAATGACCTTCCACGGTTACAAATGTTTTACATCTCGAGCCCTAGCAAAGTTCGTTTCTCTTCTCTAATGGGCAGTGTGGGGTTTAAATCCTCCTGCATTGAGAATTTACATATCCCCGTAACTGCCCAAGTGTAACATGGAGGCAATCAGCTCTCTGCCATGTGGAAACGATTTAATGCCTCAGTCCTCTGCAGAGCTAAGGTAAGATGGAGCACACTGGTTAGTACTTTAAAGATATGCCATAGTTCTGACATTTGAATTTGTCTATTTGACCTAATCATCCCCCCTTCCTCTCCTAGAGTTGGGGGCCTGCCTGCACCCCACAGAACAGTAACAGGACTGGGGGGCTCCTTTCCAACATCACTCTTGCAGAAGTAGTAGTAGTAAATACTCTGTCCTCATTACCCATGGTGCACAATTTTAAAATTACAATTACAATCTTAAAATTACAGCTGGTTGAGAACCAGAATTTCAGTGCCTCGGAGACTTCTGAAATTGTAAATTAAACCTTAATATTCACAATTAGAATGAAAAGATAATGGGCACAAAAGTCCTCTAAAAGTAGCATTCTGAAAATGATTGGCTTGGGTCCATCCAAGCTTTGCATTTTTCTATTACTTACTGTTTCATTTCTGAAGGGCTAAAAGGTATAATTTTGACATAGTAAACAATTTTGTTTCTGCTTTCTCATTACAAATACTCTTCTATCAGCTTTTATAATACATTAAAGTTTTACCTACCACACATATCATTTAAAAGGTAATTCTGGAATGTATTATTTTATATCTGTCTAATGGAAATACTGCAAATGACCCAGCTGAAATTAATCATTTCGATTTTCTCACTTAGGCAACACTGTTTTTTTTTTCACTCCTTACAAAAGCAACTCCATTTTGCCAGTAGAAAGCAGAAAACAATTGTGAGTTCCCTTTATTCCCATGCAGTGATTGTTTTGTAATGTTTTAGCGTTAGCATTGATGGATTCTTCACAGAAGAAAAAGAAAATCATGCAGCTATAATCACTTATTTCTTAAAACAAAATACAATCCTTGATCAAACAATTTGCTCTTTGATCTTATCCCTTGCACAAGGTATGAAAAAACGACAGGAGTTTGCCTCTGCTTTGCCATCTTATTAGAAGAAGCATCATACATTTTTACAAAAACATTAACACTATAATCAAAAAATATACAAAATAAATGTCATCAGAAAACTGTTCGAGCAGCATCTTGGTTCTCTCCCATATCTCCCCTCCCCCTTACCAAATCCATTTCTTATGGAGAATTACACCTAAACTGACAGCGTTTTAATTAGAAACGCAAATCTGGGATTCTAAAGCCATAGTTGCTTTGGGAGGATTTCCCAGATTTGCTGTTAAATTCTATTCTAATAAAGGCTCACTTAGTTAACTGACATATTTGTCACTGAATGAATTTATGCAAAACTGTGGAAAGAAAAGCTCCTGTATGCTTGTTCTGTTGATTGTGGGTCAAATCCACTTTTGGTCTTCTACCCACACAGATCCTCTGATCTCCAACACTACTTTGCTAATTTGATACTGACTCTAGATAATTTCATGGCTCTGTCTGAGGGCTGAGTTGGTAGTGGGTTAGCTGAAAATATTTTGCTCCCGTTTTTTTCTTATTCTAAACAAATTTTCAGCATTAAGCTCCATCAATGTAAATGAGCTGAGCTTTTTCTGTGTGTCACATACCATCTAGAATGACTGGTCTCACTGTTTTATCTCTGACGCTGACATGAATGCCACATTTACTTGAGAAGTCTGTGAATAGCCATGGTCATGTGAACTTACTGTGGGGATATGGAACTGGGAACAGCTCTTGGTGCATTCATCACACACATGCTGCAAAACTGATTTGAATGAGCTACCATTTGTCATGAACTTGGAGTGATTTTAAGGCATGTTTCTCTGTCCATGCTGTATTATTAATTTTTCTTGCACTTGTTACCTTATGTTTACTCATTACTGAATCCAACCACCTGGTACAAGAGTCTGGAGTCCCAACTGCAATGCTGGGCTTTAACACTGAGTGTTCAGAGAGCACTTATAAACAGCACTACAAATCAACTATTCCTTCCTGAGCTCCCATAACAACTTCTCTGCAAAGGTAATAGCTGAAAATTTTAATTCTCTGTGAGTAACTTTAACCATTGAGATTGGGTAAGGCAGCTGAAGGTTCACAGGTACTGGGAATCCCATGCTGTATCTCTCCTGTTTATCTTTTTATAATTTCTAACAACAACAACAAAAAATCTTGAGAGCTCCTTAACTTTTCTGTGTGGGCTGGAGATCTGCCCGTCCTCGTGCTTTAATGCAAACCATGCCAGCTCATCTGACCCCCAAAACCAACATGCTGGAAGGAAGAAATATAGATTGCAGAATCTCAGCTGAAGCCATTTTACAAAGGGGCCTTAAGGTCACTTGCTGGGTAAATATTGCAATAACTGAACATATTGCCTGCAAATACGCAGAATATTCAAACAGGAGCATATATCCATATAAGGCCTTAATTACAAATCACAGTTTATTTATTGTTTCTTTCCATCTAAGCTAATGGTCTTGGACCATTTCATCTCTTTGTTTGCATACTGCATTGGCATTTTTTCTGCAACTTCCTTTTAAATGGGCAAAACCTCTTTCTAAAATTAGTATTCCTGCTTAGACAGAAAAGTATCTTGCCATTTGTGGTTCTCCAGTTATCAGAGCTAGGACAGCTGCAAAGTATCAGCATGACTACAAAGAGCAGCTACGTGCTGTTTTCAAGAGGTTCACTTAGCATTTTGACAGGCGAGAGGTACCTAGCGACCTAAGCAGAGGACTAGCAGCCAAGGGCTCTTCTTCTGTTCCTTGGGAAGCCCTCACACTATATGAGATCCAGAGTAGCTCATTTCATGTCTCTAATTCAGTTTCCAGCTGTGGAAGAAGAGGATGAATCACATTTATGAACTTCACCTGGGTGGGTGGTCTGAAGCATTGGTCACCAGGTGGAATTTGGCTCTGACATTCTTCTGTGCCCATTTCTCCTTCCTGAAACACTCAGTCCCAGCACACAGACGCAGCACTAGGTGGGCCAGCTAAGCAGCAGCTAATTTACAGGCTCAAGAACAGTCTGCAGGTTGTGCCCTCCTATGGCCTTCAATGGCTGAGCAACACAGCCTGCTGAAACTCAACCATCAAAACTCACCTGCTCAACCAGCAAAGTAAGGTGCTGGAAGCACTACACGTCACACAAGCATGGACTGAAATGGGCAAGCAGTTCCCCTAGACTTGAGCAGGCCCCACGTACTACAAAAACACTCCCACAAAGCAGAACTGCAGAACTGAGCTGTGTTCTTTGCTTGAGGGAGCTGCCATCCCTGAGCAGTCAGAACCGGCTGCTGAGTTGAGATCCCTATCCCCAAAACTGCAGGAGAATGCACCCAATTCTTCCAGAAGGCTGCTAAAAAAAGTATAGGAAAGAGCTAGAACAGAGGGATGAGGTGAAACACTGCGAAAATATAGGAGTAGGTTGAAAGGCAGAACGGATAGACCCAAAGAAATACACGGTGATCCTCTTAAGTATCGGCACAATGTGCCTCGCCACGTTGCAAACCAGGGTAGTTTAAGGGATGAATGTTTAGACAGAAGCTTGCTGAGAAACATGTAGTTACTTTGGGCTGCTCGGCAGCTCTGGTGAAAGGCAAAGTCATCCCTGTTTGCAGTTTTGCCAGCTTTTGCTACAAGGAAAAAGCAACTTTCATCATGCCTTTGAGCAAAAATTTCACTGTAAAAAAGGCTCTTCACGTATTTTTCTCACTTTGGTGACATATGTTAGCTTTGCTGAGAAAAATTCACAAGGTGACAAGCATAAAATTTTGTCAGAAGCACTCACTGGAGTGCCCCAGGAGATTCATTACTAAGGAACTTCCTCAACCTCAGGTGGCCCTGATTTTAACAGCAGCCATCCTTCTTTTTAAACAATGGCCTATTGTGCACATGCCCTTTGCTGTGTTTCTAGATTTCATGTGCCCTCCCTCAGCTTCTTCTACAAAGTCCGCTTGATGAAAAGGTTGTTTTCTTTTTTTCTTACAAAGATTTAATATTTTGGATTATATATTACCGTTCCTCATTTTTCCAAGATCTTTCTTTAGTCATCTATATGTGCTCACAGTTTAGAGCTCCATTCCTGAGACTGCTGGCCAATGTTACTTTTTTTTTGGCCTGTCTTTGGCTCAGATTTCCCAGTCTGAGAAGAGAAAGACCTTTTGTCCAAGGAGAGTATTTTCTGCAGTGGAAGGCTTCAGTCTGAGCAATATTCCCAAGTATTTCCTTCCTTTTCTCTCTCTTAATTTATGACTTAAAATGTGATACCTGGCTAGGATAGTAGATGAGAAATTTTCTCAATTTTCAAAGTTGAGCCTTTCTTTTTTTTCTACAAGGGCATACCATAGTCCTTGTAGAAGTGGTAGGGAATGAGTATGGTCTCTCTTCCCAGCCAGTGCCTTTTGGGAGAGCCTTATGAGCACAGGAATACCTGTCTTTTAATGTTAAAACTCCCACACTAAGAAGGGAAGAAATGCTCACTGTTTCTGCTGGCTCTCTTTTACCTGCTAACAACCATTTGGTGATTTATTTTTTTTTTCCAAAGGCTTCAGAAACACTGCTGAGATGAAAAGATGGCCCCTGCCTTAGTCTGCCTCTCTGCAGCTTAAGATCTTACTTCTTATGAGAGCTTCAAGAAACAAGAGAGGAGAAAATTATTCCTATGGGAGAGCATTCCAGGTGCTCGACTCCTGCACCTGAGCCCTTGTGGCCCCCTCTTCGTGTCTCACATGTACCCACACTGTGCAGGATATGTGCAAGAACAGCGATTCTTGATGCTTTTCCTTTCACCAGATGAGGACTTCTCTTCCTCTCTGCTCCTCTGTTCACATATTTGCCTCCTATTACCTCTCATCATCAGACTTCACTAGGAGAATTCATTAGTGTATATAACATGCTCTGAGTTTGTTCAAATAACGGTGATGTTACACTTTTTCACTTTTATAGACTCTTTTATCTGAAGATCAAAGTAGTTAGTTATCATTACCATGACCGGATTATTGCTGCTTAGCCTTTGGATCTAAGGGTAAGCGGCAACTCTTCTGCGTAGGCATTAATGAGAACTACTGGATGGTTTCATTAAATTGATTGAATGCCTTAAAGTATGTTAATGCTTACAGAAAGAGGTGCATACACATGCTGTATGCTTCCTTCCTTTCTACCTGATGGTTTGAGTTAGGTGACACCTGGCTGTCACTCAGTTTCTTTGGTCCACGTGAAAACAGAAGAAAGACCATCACGGAGGATCTCAGAGGTGCCTCCTTCAACCCCAGACTCTGTCCAAGCACAGAAAATTTTTCGTCCCTATTTTTCAGCATGACCCACATATCCCCAGCACATCCTGGTTGTGCCACACTGGCGTCTCAGATGGCAGAGTAGTCCCAATGAGACATTTAGTATCTCATCACTCCAAACAGCACAATCTCATCTCAAGATCTTGACCTGCCAGTGCATTCATTGATCCCTAGAGAAGACAAAGCAATTTAGGCTTATTCCAAGCAGGCCAGTTGTGAAAATGTTAATGACTAAGAAACCTTTGTGCTGGACCAGAACAAACTCAAAATACCCTGGTGAGATATTTGCTTGGCTGGAGCTTTTGCCTGAAACAGAGAAAATAACAGAATGAAGGAAGATGAGAGAATGAGGTGGGGGAACTCTTTGTGTAACCCGCTTTGCTCTACAAAGCCCAGATACCTTAGCATCAGGAGCAAGACCTTCTGAGAGGAAACTTCACTGATAGAAAGCAAAGCAGCAGCTTTCACAGAGGGATGCTTTTGAATTTTTCTTAATATTTAAATTGCATATGTACTCAAACAGTTTGTGAACCCAGAGACTGTGTTGTTGCTGGTCTGTTTGCATGTAGGTAAATTTTCAGAATAGGTCTATTTGTTTTAAACTCTTCCCATCTTTACCATTCACCTCCATCCTGGCATGCAGCACTCCCAGCCTCAGCAGGGAGCTCCTCTAAAACATTATTGTCCTCTCCTGAGAAAATTTGTTCAACAAATGAGCAAAAAGTATTTTATAGAATATTTCCATCCAGGTTAACTCCAAGTGGTTTTAATCAAACCTTAATTCTCCTTTCTACTTCTGTCTCTTTTTAATTTGGAAATTATACTGCTTTTTCCAATTACTGAGCTTCATCAAGCCCTTCACAATGAACAAAAAAGCACCTCTTTTGTACTTCTATAAATTTGTCCTTGCTTGCTCACTGTTTGGGAAGTTGCAGTGAACATGGTTTGCTGTATATACACATTCCTGAACTTATTGTAAAAAGGGTATGTGGTGCTTCCCTAGTAATGAGGATAGGTGGTTGGGATGAAATCTGGGACAAAAGCAAAACTAGTATAAAAATCCTAAATGCCAGTGGAATAAGGTAAGTACTCTGAGCCTTCCAGTTGAAGGCCAAGAAGTTTTAGCCAGCTCCAGGGAGTTAATCCAGCAAAGAGCAGCTGTAGATGCTCTGTGTGGTGTGAGCCAGAACAATTTCAGTTGAGGAGCACAATGCTCATTTGACTGTATCCAGACAGTGTGCAGATGATATCTTAGCGCTGACAAAAGTTATGTACAGCATATGGATGAGTTATTTAAACTCATCACAGGGCTTCCCTGTGAAAACACACTCAGGGCTTCCTATCTTAGCTACAATATTTTTCCCAAGTGCCAACATTAAAGCAGGGTGTTACAGGCTTTGCAAAGGACACCACTTCAGGGAGATGGAGGTCATTGAGCTTCTCACAATCCCTATCCTTTCACAAAAACACTTGGCAATCTACCTAGCTACGAGGAAGACGCAACCATGCTCAGTCTTGACTGCAGCTTGGAGAATGTCAGGCCCCAGCTGAGCGGACTGCTCGGGGATAACAGATTATGAAGAGGGAAGAAAATGAAAAGAGAAAGTGTGTTTCTGTTATTGATTGAAAATCAGCAAGTGGGAGCACAGCATAATAGGAGTCCTTGGAGGCTCTGAGGGTCTCCTGCTGGAGTCATGGAGAAGGCTACGAATCTCAAGCACCCATATAAATGACAGCACCACTCATGATCCTGAGTCAGTACACAGCACTTGACACACAAGTAGCACATGGTATTTCCACATCAGAGATGTTCTAATAACATTTTCCAATAGATTGAAAAAAATGCCAGTGCACTTGTTTCCCCACTATTTTTTCTTTTGTTCGCAGTAGAAAATATCGGAAACATTTATTTAGTCCTAAAAAAAGAGATGGCAAATTCATTTTTAGCTTAATAAGTCTGCTTTTGAGTCAAGTGTTTGACTTTTCATTTCAAATACAGCTGGTGGAAAGATTAGTAGATCTGTCACTCACTGAGGAGACTTTCAGCAATTTTCTTGCTGTCCCCCAGCAACTTCAATGGCAGAAGCTTGAAGCGAGAGTCATGCAAGAGCAACTAGATGTGTCTGAGAGTGAGACCATCCCAAGGTACTGCCGTACAGATCATTGGAGAAAACATTCATTTCCTCTGCTGCATTTAGAAATTCTCAGATGGCAGAGCGTGGAAATCCGAGAGATTCATTTTTTCTTTTACAGATGAAATTGCATTTTACCAACAATATTCTGTTACTTAAGCATTTCTTTCTTCTGAGACCTCTGTATCCTTCAGCATTTTCCCAAATGAAATAGAGGATAGGAAGGATGACTATTTTGAAAGAATTTCCATTTTCCCCTGGCTGCCACATTTTGGTTGCCATGGAATTGCGCAAGCTCCGAAGGGGCCTGTTTAGATAGATATTGTGCAATTTGTCAAGCTGCTCCTCCGGTGAGTCACTTTCCCTGGTTAAAGGCATTTCAGAAATAAGTGTGGTCATCAGTTCTGGTGATTTGCAAATACTGTTCTTACCCTGTGACCTGAATTTCCTCTCCCTGGACATAATTAACTCTGCCAGGTAGAGATAATTGCAAAATCATTTGGTACACTTTTAAAAGAAAAGAAGGCTTCTCCAGAAATTGAAACCCTAATTTTTTACTTTTATTCTTAAAGTCCAACAATAGCCCACCAGTTCGAGCAAACTATCAAAAATAAATGGTCCTGAGCTTTGTCCCCATGAACAAGCCTCCACGTCTTCCAGATTCACCCCACATTGGGGCAGGAATAGGAGGGATGCTAAATCAACCTTGTCCCCAGGGCAGCCCCAGCATGAGCTGCAAATTGCTTGTGCTCCCCAAGGAAAGGACAAACCGCCTCTTCCTTCTTTGAAAAATGTACCCTTTGCTTTGAGACTGCACAGTGAATCCAACTGGCGGTGAGCAACCTGGTTTGTAGAAGCAAGCAATAAAATCATCATCTCCCATGTCTCCAGAGAGGCTTTAGCAAGCTCTGCCACTGACCTCTGCTCCTACTGACGCTGCCTGCCTGCCGGGAATGGTACCAGCAATGCTCACCTCCTCCTTTTTCTGCCCACATAGGCTCACATCTGAAAAACTGTCAGCCCCTAGACCTTCCCATGTTAAATGTGGAAGGCAAAATAAATTGAAAACAAACAAACAAACAAACAAACAAAAAAAAACCCCTTCCTGGATGCTTATAGGATTCCTGTTTTGGGAGAGTGCACAGCTCTCCAGGGACTCTCTCCAGGACATGTAACATCTTGTTTGAGGTTATAATGGGTACTGCAAAGATGGCAGCAGAAGTGTACATCAAGACCAAAACGGCAGGCAGATGCTTGGGGTGTCAGGGAAGATGCCTACTGAATCTGAAAAGCGCTGCCAAATAAACACACAGACCTGATCTTCATTTCAGGGAGGAATTAAAATCCTTCTAATTGCTAAATGCCCTTGGTTCTAATTTCCCTAATTCTCATTTTTAACAAAATAACTACACTGCAAAAGTTAGTTAACAAAGAGCAGAACAGAAATAACTCCCTTGAAACAATCCAAATGAAACCTCTCACCAAAAAAAGAAAAGACTATTTGTCCTAACCAATTTCTGATTTAGATCTTCTCTAGAACTGAATAAAATCCTTCAGTACTAGGAACATCTTGATGAAATTTGAAAGTGCTGCTATTTTTCAAAATCTCCAGAGGATAGATTAGAAAAAAACATCAACAACTTGTAGTGCAATTTTACTGTTATTTCCACTAGTTCTGTGGCTGAAGTCTCCTGTGATTTTTTTCAATTGATCTAAAAAGAAATGTAAATAAACAGGAAAAATACCAGAGGAAAGTGTTCAGCATTAATTACAGGTACATAATAAATACTACATTTGCTCTTCCACAGACACCCCGCTATGACTGAGAGCACCAGAGTGCCTGCAGAAGAAGCTGCAGTGAAATGTAAGCCTGGCTGCACACTGCTATAGATCAGCCAGAGTGCAGTGTTTCCTTGTCACTAAAAACAAATAACGATGTCCACAAGATACGTATAAATAATAGATGGTATCTATTGACTGGATAGCAGCCAGCATTTGTATCTCTCCTTCCCACCCCCGAGCGCTCTCATTCATCACCCCTGCCAGCAGACAACCCTAAGCAGCACGTTCCCTCTGCACCCTGCGCCGGCTCCAGGTCTGGGCTCTGCAGACAGCTTAGGTCTCATTTCACTCTTATCTCCAGCCAGCTGAAGGGTGGATTGCATCCTGCACCTTGTCTCCTTGTGCACAGTAAACACCCACCTCGCAGGGATCAGCCAGCACAGAAATTCCTTCTGCTCCTCCATCCCTGCTAGTGCTCTCGAAATGCCCCCTTGCAAGGCTGGCTCACTCCCAGCCCCAGGCTGTGATGAAAGCTTCATTTTTATTTTCCTTTCCAACACAGGTTGACCAGGGTAACTCCAGCTCTGTTCTCAATATAATGAGCAATTACAACGAGCAATTTCAAGCAGGTATCGTGACATGACACCTTATTGTGTCATGACACAACTACACGTATCCCTTCTACTCGTGTTAGGTTGTGAGCTGAATCTAAAATACACACGCTTCATTCCCTCAGCACAATATAAAGAATGCTCTCATGAAGCCTTTTTATTTTTGGAAATGTCTGTTTAATTTTCGTCTAACGTGGCATGAAGGATGGCTCTATTTGCTGGGTGACACTGTGTGATATTTATCTTTCTGCCAAACTTCACTGGGGACAAGACTCCTTAGTCACTTGGTCAAAACCATGCACATTCTATCTCATGGTATCTTCAAAGGAAGAACAAATGCCTTTCCGGAAGATATATTTTAACCAAATGCATTTAACTTTAGTCAAACATAAGTTTTCTGAGTTAAAGAAAGGGTAAGTGGATTAAATTTGATAGTCTTTAATATACAGGAAGTCTCTTTTGGGCTCAAGCCATATGAAGCAAGGCATTTTGAGATAACAAAAAATAGAATATCAAGCTTGGAAGCAGAGAGCAGAAATACATATTTTGCTCACTGCTTTTTTTTTTTTTATCCATTTCACTACAATCAAATAATTCATTCTAGAGGAAATGATGGGGCAGGTGAAAAATTCAATGCCTCTTTCTGCTGCAGAGGAGGTCTGGAAGCTCAGATGTCACCCCAGTCTCCTCCTCGGTGGTCCCTGGTCTGTCCTGAGCGAGGAAGGGCAGCAGTGGACTGGATGTTAGTGAGGTCCCACTCTCTACAGCTGCTACGCACCAGGGTTATTTTAAGCTCTGAACACAATTTATCAAATTACATTTCTGAAAAATGGTACAATATGAGTCATATTTACTTCACATTTCTCTTGCTGCAGGCTCTTGCTATTGGCTGCAGGTTATTTATTACTTCTGACGCTTGCTCTGAGAATCTCCTTTCTGGGTCTGTATTTCACATTTAATGAGTGCTTTTGCAATTTCATGTCTGTTTTCTGAAGTTAAGGTGGCACTTCGCACAGCCTGATGGTTTATAGCCCGTTTCAGACTTCACTGATTTCTGCCTGCTACTGTATATGTGAAACCACTCACAACTCCAAAATGTTGCTTTTCTCCCATTCCGCTGTGTTTCAGTCAATACTTTGAAAACAAAGCTTTCTAAGGGCAATTACAGGGACCATCTCACCTCAAACAGGACAATTTACTTTGTGTTGTAATGACTGAACCACATCACTGGTCAAGTGCTGGTACAGAAGGGGGATCGCACACTCCAGTGGGAAACTTCAAAGAGTTCCCAGGCTCTTTTTGGACTCATTTGGGTGGATTCCTTCCCCGTGCTCACGTTGCAGCCTCCAAAGGCACAACACAGACTGCCATCAGCTGTGGCTGGGATCTTCCATAATAGGTCACAGCATGGGCTTTGTCATGCTCATTCAGACTACACTTAACATGAAAGCTTCAGAGCTTAAGGGACACCAGTCGACCTCTTCCCCAGAAACTTCACTCTGCAGAAGAGTCTGTGAGCACATAACCCACAGGTATGGTCTGTCTTGGCTATCCGCAGGTCATCAAATTCATAGTGTATTGTTGAAGTGTTTGGCAGTTTGTGATGAGCATACTTAAAAGGCTAATTAAAGTTCTGGCTAGTAAGTCTGTCCTTAAAAAGGACACAGTTTTCCTTCAAAAGCAAATTTTGGTGTCAGTGGGAGACTGAAGTTCCCTGGGGACTGGTCCGAGACTGAGAAATGCACTTTTACAGGAGCAAGGAGTTGCTGCAAACCTCACCACCTGCTGTGCTGAGCGATGTGTCTTGCGGTTTTGATCTTCCTTTTTTTTTTTTTTTTTTTTTTTTTTTTATGACAAATACATAGTGGCATATGCACTTGAAAAAAAATATGCTCTGCAAAAAAAACCTCCAGACAAATTTCCCCTACTCCTTCCCAAAACAAAACTGAAATAAACAAACCAAAACCTCTACAAAAACAAAATACACCCCTGCACTTGCTCCTTTCTGCTGGGGAGAGAATGACAGAACAGATGTATAACAGAAGCTATTTATGTTGATTAATACATTACTGGGGAGATGCTGAGAGATTATAGTGATAAGTTTAGAAGCAACCGTATAGGAAATATATTGGAATAGAGCAGATCTCCACCTGCCCACCAAGTCGTTCTACCAAGTACTCATTTCTAAGTGATGTGTCACAGAAATCCTGCACCAGGTTCTTGTGAAAAATACATGTGAAAGATGGAGCGCACTCGGAGCCTTTCTGTACAACAACATCCTACGGAAATTCTCACCCTCCTGCTTCCTCCTTGCTTTCACATTTCACAGAAATATTCCTCTCCACCTGCAACCATCACAAGGAGCAGTACTCAGAGTACAGGGAGTTATAATAATTCCCATACTTCGGTTTTCAAATTCTCTCTTCTTGCAAATATTTGTAGTCAGAAAGTGCTTTTCTGTTCCATGCTAAAGTATAGATTCCAATGACATTGGAATTTTCATTATCAAGACGATCAAATTAACAACATGAAAATAATAATGACACAATCATTTTCATTTCCAATTTCAAAGCAAAATAAAACACCACTTTGAAATGGTGATTCAAAGCATGTTGTTTAGCTAGAGCAAATGTTGTTATTTGGATCAAAATCACCCGAGATTTTTTATTAAAGATGTTTCAGAATTTGCTGTACCACAAAGCCTCAGCTTTTCACCTATACACACTCCTCTTTGGAGCTGAAACTAGCTACAGAAAACTCCCCAAAGGAAGACATTTTCTTTCCTAAATAAGAGGAATAATGATGACAAAAACAGCAATGAGAAAAAAAAATGGCAATAGCCTGATCCTAACACATGGGGCTATGTTACAAGACAGCAATAAAGTTGAAATTCCCTCTGCAGGGAAGACTTTCTGAGTGCTCCTGCTATACTCCTACTAATCAATGATCAGATGATAAAACATAATCATAAAAGCTGTCACTATCAAAATGCCCCGCAAGCTCTTATTTCCCTGCTACCACAAGCTCATTAATATTTGGATAAATTGGCATCCGATGGCCAACAAGCTGGTGCCTGGCCTCCCCCCGCCATCCCGTGGGAGCAGCGCTGAGCTGCACGCTGTTATCTCTGCTTGCTGACAGTTGTGCCTACTTCTCGTCCCCCGAGTTTTGATGCCATCTCAGCATCTGGGAAATTAACTCCTATCAACTGCATTCACCCGCAACACATCTCTCTGTTCAAATTTCCTTTGGAGAGAAGGAAAACAAAGCAGAAAAAAAAATGGAGGGGGGGAAAGAAAACAAAAGGTGTCTTTGCCATCTGCTTTTATCAGAACATCACTTCTGATGTCACCATGGCATGTGTATGCGGAAAATGCATATATTGCCTGTAGATTCATTCTTGTGACTGGCAGTACCTCTGTTTTCAGTCAAACCAAGCTAAAATTGTTCTTAGTCTGAACTGTGACAGGCAACTTTCCTGGTCCGATGAGGTTGCACGTAAACCTCAGGTGTGTGAGCGGTGCAGACATGCACTGTGCCTCAGAGACACGGGAGGAAGAATGAGAGCAATCGTTCAGTTTGGTGCTTGACCTGTCCCCATGCTCTCCCTCCAATCAATGCCCCAGCAGACCTCGTGGGAGTGACAGGTACATGTAATCTGCACACAAAGCCACAGCTTGGTATCCCTTGTCCAGTCTCACAAATCCTAAGTGCCTCTGCCCTTGATAAAACACAGTAAGTCTCAAAAGTGTTAGCCCAGGGTCAGCTGTGATCCTGCCTCATATGAATATACACATATCACAAGAAAAATCCCACAGCCATTCCAGACGTTATTTACTGGGTATACAACCTGGACAAATAAATAACAAAATTCTTCCAACTATTTAGTTCCTATGTTTTAAATTCTTTGTCTTATCTTTTTGCCTCTGTATGAACAAAGCATGAAGGTTGTGTGTATAATAGGTTTCTATAATGGACAAAATCTCTACCATAAAACTTGTGGGAAGAGAGCTCTCAAAAAGAAAGGAGGTATTTCCAAACCTTATTTACAAACAGATCTCTGTTTTTGTCTCTATCACAGATTTTCATCTTCTGCATTTCATGCATTTTTTCAGCCCCCTTATATTGTGCCATCATTTCCAAAGAAAATTACCTAAAACTAATCACAACAGTCTTTAATTAATACAGAGAATAAATGACTCCACCAGAAGCCCTTTTAGGAACCCTTTAGACTTTGGTCCTATTGAACGTTCAAGCAGCAGAACTATTGACTGCAATGGGAACCAAAAGGAAAACTGTACTTCTCTGACCTTTCTAAAGGCCAATAATACTTAAAGCCACACAGTGCGCTCCATAATGTTTGGCACAGACTTTATAACCTTTTACTGGGCACCTACTATATTATTTCTCCTTACTTTACTAGAATTTTATAGCTTCCCTAAAATGTTAGAATGACCTTTTTCTAATAGCAACACAATAAATGACTGACAAAAATTGATTGCAAATTGGTGGCTTTAGAAAATTGTGTTTGCATTTTTGTAAATTCCCTCAAGAGAACTCCCCAGCATAAATTTAGGATGATATTTTTTATGGTCCCAAGTTTGAGGTCCCAAGTTCACGACTGAGAGACCCGTGAACCCTTGGATCCGTTCTGAATCACAAACTGATTCTGAAGACTATACTATGGTTCAGGAAAGAAGGTCAAAGAACCTGTTCAGTTTCAAAGAATAAAGAAGGATTAAATCACGTGAACTAGAAGGAGGTTCACTGAAGGAGGTAACCCACCTTGGAGAAATATCACATCCTTGCTGCATGAAAGCTCCCAGGGAGAACCAGAGACTGTTGAATATCCCAAACTCATTCGTCTGATCATTGGCTGGCTGGTCCCGTCCTTCCTCAAATTCCTCTGTGTGCCACTCATAAGGGCTGAAGCGGCTCACCAAGAAGAGGACAACACTCACTCCAATGTAGGCAAAAACAATGCACATCCATATTTCGTAAGCCAACGGATCCAGAAAGGAAAACACTCCTGGTTTGGACTTCTGAGGTTTTTTTATCATGATAGAGATACCTAAACTCATAAATGGTTTGGAAAAGTCTATAACTTCTTCTCGAACCAGAGTGATGGTTAGTGGTGCCACAGCCACATCAGCTCTCTGAAAAGAAGAGAGAGAGAAGAAGAAAAGAGATTTACATTCTGGTGATAAAATATATCTACTAACACCAGCTTATTTGCCTTTGATCTCTGTTTAACCCCACTATCTGAGAAGGAATCAGACAAAACCAATTGCAAGATAAATGTTAAAAAGAAACAGCCCATAATATTGGTGGACTATTTCCATTTTGTCACTACTGATCACCAGCTCTGTTTTGAAATCGCAGTGTTTTCTTTTCCAGCCACCTAGCTCTTGTGTGATTTATCCACTGATGTCACAGACTGATGCAGATGACTTTTGCTAAAAGGGCCTTATCATCCAGACATCAAAAGAGGCAAGGAAAGGCCAATCACCTGAAAAAAAGATGCCAGGATGTTTACTTCCATCAGAAACTGCTTTTTGATTGCATAACTGATGCAGGAGAAGAGGAAAAAAGTTCCAGCGCCACTGATGTGCACTCTCCACTTATTTTATAATCAGTCTTGAAAATGGAAAGGGAAACACATTGAAATGGTCGTTGGCACATCCTATAGAGCTCCTGGCAGGGGACAGATCATCCTTCACTCTGGCATGGTGACACATAGACTTGTGCACTGATGCTCCCTACACCATCAAGGGTAAATCAGACCCCTCTGAAGAATTACTTGAAGCACCACAGATGAGAACTATTGGAGAGAATCAGGTTTAGAAGTGTAGGGTGCAGGGATATATCCGAGCAGGTGGAATGAGTGACTAGACAGAAAACGGTCAAGTCCTACTGTTCACCAGTCATATACCAAGTTTTTGAAGTCTTATCCTTCCTTTATCCTGCCATTATCATGCAAATATAAAATATAGTAAAATTTGGAGATTCCACCCATGAGAAAGCTTGACCTTTCAATACTTGTTCTTCCAGAAAAAAAAAAAGAAAATCTTCCTGGAACTGTTGAAAGAAAACATTTTGACATTTCCATGGGCATAAAATATGCTGTCCCACTCTAAATTAAAACATTTTCTTTGGACTGATTATTCGCATTATCAGAGCAGCAGTCCTTAAGATAGCACAGGCTGACAGAAGGCAGGGCTCCTTTTTACCCCAGGGCTTGAACGTGTTCTCAATGCAAGACCTAAAGACAGTGGATAAGGCGGGATACTCACCCCATACACGAGTTCTCCCACCATGCCATTCCACGTTTTGGTGTCGGGGTCCCGGGCTCCGTACTTCCCGTCTCTGACAATCTCCAGCCTGTAGTGGTAGCCAACATGCTTTGCAATCTCAGCAGCAAGCTCCACACAGTAGCCTTCATACCTCTCGTTGCCTTCAAACTGGTTGGCATTCTTCTTGAGCATGACGTATGGGTCTTCCTGGCACAGAGAAGACCAATATTGAGCCTCACTCCACCTTTCTAGAAATGCATCTCAGCGATTCAGACTAGAGCATTGTGGGCAGCTTCTGGCCCTAACTTTGTATTCCTGTACCAAAGGGCACAGTCAACATACAAAGGATTCATTTAGCAAGTACAAAGGGTGATTTTTATTTTGGCATTTTCTATTTTTTTATGCAGAAACTGTGTGCAGCTTCTGCAGTGATAGACCTGAGGGCAACAGAGAAGCTGAGGGGATTTGGGCAACAAATCTTTCATTGTAGTTGCGTAAGGGATATTTAGTGCATCGGAGCTGTGAATTTTTACAGGCATGTCTGCCTATGTGGGCACAGGCAGAAACTAATTTGCTGGACAGGAGAAAGCCCTAAAGATGTTTAACTCAGTTTGTGTATTGTGCCTTCTCTGAAGATTCACAGCAAACGTTCAACAAACAAGTTAGTAAAATTTCATCTGTTTCTGCAGGGTGAGTGTATACAATGACACACTACATGATACCATACATTACGGGGTACTTATTGTTCCTTCATGATTATAGTGGAGATTTGTTTTTAAAGCTATGATTCAGCCTCTCTGCACAATACAGCTTATCCTTCCAAAAATTACAGCCCACATTCTGTGGGCTAAACACAAAGCACAGGTATAATGTTCCTAATTTACCTATGCTGATGCCTCTACTATCTTGTCACAATCTTTTGTATTTTCTATACTTAAGCATGAGAGCTTTTTAATACCTATTTAATTAGCCACAGCAATTTTCAGATATCTTTATGGACCCGACAGGAAACAGTAAGTGCTGTTATTATTATTGTTATTATTGTTATTGCTATTATAAAAATGATACAGTACAAAGGAAGGCACGCGAGGGAGAAGAGGGAGTCAGCACATCAGGGAGATGAGGGAGAGGGGGAGATGGGCTAGAAGTCGCAGCACTTACTAGGATAGTTGTGACTATGTAAGTCCTGTTCTGGAGGCTCGTGGACTCATTGCCGGTTTGAGTATCTATGGCTGCTGGAACCAACTTTTCATCTTCATTCCAATAGCCAATCTGCCAAAGACAAAACCAAGACACCTCCTTGGTATCTCCTTGTAATATTAACCAAGATATGTTAACGGGATCATTTAAGCAGGGGCCTTTCTCTCTGCAAGTTCATACCCAGCCAGAGATGTCTTCTCCTTATTCTTAATCTCTTTTGCAGGGAGAACCAGGATTTCCTCTGTCCCACCATGCCTACAGCCTGAGAATAATGTACACAATATGCTATGGTAGCAGGGTGCTTGTAAACACATAAAAATAAATGGCACACAGTAGTAGGGGACTATTACTATTCCCTGCCCTACCCCTACTTCAAGAGGTCACAATTTTCCTTTGTGACTTCTTAAAAATTTTCTAATGGTGGATGTGCCTGCTGCCTGTCCGGATATAACAAGATGATAAAATGCCATCTTGCTGCTGAAAGCCTGTATGAACATAGGACTGTTCCTGTATGAACACATGATACTAAGTGGAAAGAACAAAACAAAACAGCAACAAAAAAACAATCCTAGACAATGCCAGAAGGTTTGGGATTACGTAATGTAATGTAATGGTTGTCATAGGAAGAATCTGCATGTTAAACTGGGATTATTAATAATTAAGGATTTGGGCTGATCTATCACTACCTGCAGGTAAAGCCGAATGCCGTCGGATATCAATGGGAAGATTGTTGTTAAGGTTCTCCTCTCCGAGGGCTTGATTTTGTAAGAGGTTTTCCATCACCTCATGTGTGTATGAAGTTTCCTGAGCTTAGGTCAAGTGAAAGGAATTTCTTATCCTACTAAACAGGAAAAGGTATGAACACAGGGTATGACCAGGAGCCTGCTGATGGCAGATTAGGGATCATAACTAGGGAAGAGGAGAAAAAATCTACACAGGCTTCTTGTCTCTCTTTGCTGCACAGAGAAAAGGAAAGGCGTGCGAGGAAAGATCTTCCAAAGCTCTTTCCTGGGGCAACATAAGTGCAGACATGTATGTTTGTTTTGCACTTTTAACCTGGTGGATCTAAGACACAGTGTGCATCCTGGCAGTCATGTACATGTCTACTAAACAAATACTATTTCTGTCACTAAATACAGAGCAAAATCAAGACATTTAACCATTTTATTTCTTCTCCTCTAGATTCTCTCCGGACTGCCAACATTTTTTCTGGAGCTCAGAGCCCAATACTGGACATAATACTACATTTGTCCTCTTATGAATACAAAGTAGAGGAGAAAGATCACTTTGCATGTCTTCAAAATTTTTTATTTTATTTCTTAATGGTGAATTTGAATTTTTTTTACATGACATTTCTGATTTGTGCTTGACTGGTAGTCATTGGCTACTCTCAGGTGTAAGTGTGAATAGGGGGGACTGTAAATGTAGGACTATCACTATTTGTAGTTTTTCCTAGCTTTAAACAAGTATTTTTTTTGGTGGGGGGGGGGGGGGGGGTTGGTGGAGGGATTCCAGTGCAGAGGGATTCCAGTGAATGTTCCATTCCAAATTATTTAGCAGCTCTCCTTTATCCACGGAATAACACTGTTCTTCAGATAGATAATTTGTAAAGTGTGACAAAAGTGCTTAGAGTCAGATCGCCAAAAGCATCAGTGTTTCAAGGGCTTGATGCCCCTGAAAAAAAGTAAATTTTTTCAGTGTCTGATATAGAAAGGGACCAAGACCCCAGAACAGCAGAAAACTCTGCGGAACAATCAGGACATAGTGGTAAACATCTTGCCACTTTAAGGAGAGCAGAATTAGGGTTTCCCTGCACTGCTTAGGGCAGACAGGTTCTGCCTAGCTCTGTCTTGGCTCACTCCTTGGAAAAGAAAACTGGGAGAGTGAAAACAGACAGTCGTGTAGCTGGGCCTGAGCCAATGTGCCCTGCCAATAGCAAGACTGAGTGGGCCAAGCTTTCCTTTCCTGGAAATCCCTGCTCCACAGCTAAGATGCCCTTCTTACTCTTGATAACCCCTTCCATATGTTGTATTTTTCAGTAATACACCATGAGTTCCCCCTTGTGCTTGGCTTTCCTCATGCAGAGAGCTAAGAATGCACTCATGGTGACTCTACATGCAAGCTTCACGAGCAGAAGTGTCTGTTGAGACCTAACCACACCATAACTTGAACAGAAGGCTGGTGCCTGACACAGGATCTGAAGTCTCTTTCTTTGTTACCTTTCTGATCCCATCGTGTTTCATCTCAATCACATGGAGGGTGTAGTTGGTCCTGCGTCCCTTCTCATTAAACTGAACGTTGCCAGACAGTCCTTCGAAACGGACCTTAAAGACGTAAATATGAGAGAACAAATCGGTCAGCATCCCACAGGGTGGCGGTTCAGCAGCAGCAAGAAACAAGGGGAGGAAGGATGGACAATGCTGCCACATCCCTCAGATTCCTGCATAAGAGCTAGATCACGTGTGCGAGCCCATCATCTTTTGGGATGTGACAGTGAGCTAAATCAGCTCTGAACTCCTTAGGTTTTCTGTTTGTTTGTGTCATCTAAATCTAACCAGGAATCAGGACCTGGGAAAAAAACTTGTCAGTCCAAACCAGGAATTGCATTTGCAGGAAATATGAAGCTGTGGACACAGTTCCTAGCTGCTGCTTTTTAATAGAGAAGAGTCTATCAGTTAACAAGCAAATGCTATACCAGCCTAATAAAACTTAACAATTCAGTATTGTAAATGAGATTTGCATAGGAAGCTTTGAATCATAAATCTCTGCTGATGACACTGCCAAGCTGAAGAGCATTGCTCAGGCATCACATCCCACTTCCGTAATTTTTCCTCTCAGTGTGGGTATCTGACTTTTTGCAAAAGAGCAGGAATATGGGAAAAGGAGTGTGAATTTGCCTCTCTACAGAGGCCACGTGGAGGTGTACTCACACCACTGGAGTGGGAATGAAAGGTTTGTTCTCAGCCTTTTCACTAGCTTTGGACAAATCTGTAACCTCTGCAATTGAAAGCTTACCGTATGTAAAACGGGAACAGGTATTTGGCTGCCTATTAAAATGCCTTGAGAGCCTCAGAATAAAGATCGATGGTGAAGAAATGAGGATATATCACTATGGAGAAAAGCAGCTGCTAATCTGCTTAAACTGTGTTTGTTTTCCAGCTATTAGCACAAAGGTCTGTCATGAAAATGAACATCTGCCAGTATTTTCTGAAGCCGCTTCAAGTCAAGAGGTATACTTGATGACATTTGGAGAAACATGCTTTTCCCTCCTCACAAGAAACAACATGCCCATAAAAGATGGCTGTGCTGGAAAAACACCATTGTCTTCAACACTCCCACGCATGAAGCTCAGGCCAGAGCTCATGCTTTGTGGTTGGATATGCAGTAAAAGGCAGATGTACTAAAGGCAATTCCTTCTGTCTGTAGGAATGAAATCTTAATCCTGTGGTGTCTGTGTAACACCAAGACAGCAAAAGGGATCTCTTTTCTGTCATTTACCATCCTAAGACCCCTCTCAGGGCTCCTTTTTTACCTTGCTTTATTGACTAAAACTGTTCTGTCTTTAGCTAGATGTAGCTGTCTGTCATTAATACAAATTTTTATTCTTTTTTTTTTTTTTTTTTTTTTTTTTTTTGTACAGTGAAAATACTCTGCCCCCTGAATCATTACAAAATACAGTGAGGAATGATTTCAACACTTCTAAGTACCAGTAAAATCAACTGGAGACATTGAGAATGTAAACACATTTGTGAACAAGACATGGGCATGTGGTTCTCTGCTTGGAGAGCTAGAAGAGAAGGATGCTGCAGTGACCTCTGGTCTATGGGGCTAGGCAGCATTTAGGGACCACCGACCTGCTTGCTAGACTTGGTTATTAAAAAACATTATGATAAATTTTCACAGATATTTTTGTTAATCTTGCTGAAGTACAACTGGGACCTCAGTCTTTTCAAAGTATAACTGAACACTCAATGTATTGGCTTAAAGTAATATTCCGTGAGCATTTCCTGAAAAAAAAAAAAAAAAAGTCTTATTTCCTGTTAATAAAAGCATACCTTTTGCTAAAATGTGTTAGATTTCTGTATTTGAAAATTGCAGAATGTTTCAAATTGCTTTTTATTTTTGGTCCTGCCATCCATGACTCCTTCCTACACTAAACAAGAATGAGGCAATTCAAGAGCTTATTCAAGGCATTTGAGTAGAAATAAGTAGAGAAACTTTTTTCTTTTAAAAAGAGCATAATGTTTTAGGCATTAGAAAATGGAAGGTGAAGAGAAAGAACACTGTGAATATCAGTAAGAATTGCTGTAATTGTGAGTCTTTACAGAAAAGATAACTCAAACCTTCAATCTAATCATAAGTTCTTTCCATTTGCCTCTTTCTATAATGGAGTTATTGCTACAGCATTAAATGCTGGATGATTATTAAATTCATACTTAAAATTTCCCTTGGAGATTCCTTCCTTCACTGAATGTTTCATAACCTTTTATTTTGACCATCACAACTAAACTGGTCAAACTTTTGGAAAATTATAATTTTTCAATGGTAAAGAAACAATGTTGGGAAATCTCTGTTCATGTTCTTTGCTCAAAATCACCGCAGTTGAAAAATTAAGAGTTTTGAAATTGATTGAATGAAGAGATGAAGAAACTTCAGAGGAGATTTTCAGGCACACACACAAAATTGTATTTTCTAGCCAAGACTAATTTTGATATCCTATTCTCATAAATTCAATAAAGGAAAATGCTTGAGAGCCCATTGCTCATCAGATGTCTTCCAAGTATTTCATGTTTATTAGGTAACCGATCTCCCTAATGCATCAAGGAGGCTGATTTTATTATAAGAATTTGGAGAAGCTATGACAGTGATTTGCCCAAGGTCATACAGAAAGTCAATGACAGGCTTGGGAATAAATCAAATACTAGCAATCAAATCAAATAGATTTGGGTTTAGAGGGATTTTTGTTTACCAGTACACCAAAACTAAATCAAAACAAAATATTTGGGAAAATGCATATATGATGCAAATTAACCAAATTAATTTTGTTCTTCTTGCTTTCTTCACGGTTAAGAAAAGAAGATCGGATAAGCTATATTTGGATAACACTGAGCTAGCACTATTTGCATGGAATCCATCTATTTTTGACACAAATGTAGCACAAACTATGAGTAAGAAAGTTGAGAATGTATCTGAAAAAAAATTGGTAGAAACAAAGGTTAGTCTTGAAATTTAATGAAATTTTGAAATGTTCTACCTTTCTAAGTCTTTGAGAAGAGTTTATTACTTTTTTCTCTTGCTCTACATGTAATGTTTTTTTTTAATATATTTTTTTAACTCAAATATCTAGGTATTTATGCAGGATGAAAAAGCAAGGTTTTCAGATTATTAAGGAATAAACTTTCTTAATGACTGTTATTAAGACTTTTACCAACTGTCACAGTATGAACCAAGCTATAATCTGGGCTCTAAGAACATTTTGTAGTCAGACAACATATACGGCAAAATTCACAGTGTTTCAAAATTCATTAGCAATCTGGAACTAAAGCAGAGTTCACGGAGAGTTGAAGGAGCTTCAGAAAATGTGGCCTGTTCTGGTCTCTCTTTTGTAAAACGGGAGATAAAAATAGGGACCCATGTGGGTAGTTAGGGTCTGGCGGCCGGAAGATGTCGTGCTGTACGGAAAGGTGGAGCCCCTCCCTTGATGGACAGTAGCGTGTGGCCTGTGATTTAAGCAAGCGGAAGTGACGCTATGGGCCTCGGGTATATAAGCCCATGTGACTCGACAATAACCGCCATTTGCCATCCACCACATTGGTGTCTGTGAGCCGATGGACCGAGCGGCCTGGGGTTGGTCGCCGTGCCGTTCCTGAACCAGGTCGCCACTGCCCCCTGAAGGCAACAAGTGGTGCCGAAACCCGGGAAAACTCCTGATTCGGGTGAACGGCGGCCGGAGCGGCGGGACCAGCCCGGCGGGGAGGACGCTCCCGGACCAACAAGGAAGATGGAAACCCTTGTGAAGGTCGTATCCAAGTTGTGGAAGCTGTGGGGTGGCTCGGCTGAGGAAGCCAGGGGTGCCGGTGGGGAACCAGAGCCTGGGGAAATCTGGGAGAGACCACGGCCATGTGCGCCCCAGTACGGTGCTGAACTAGAAGACGAAGAATTGGGTGAAGAAGCCTCCGGCGGGAACGGGGATGAAGCGTTAGGTTTTACTAACAAGTGGAAATGCGAAAAAGAGAACGGTTGCGGGGACGACCGGGGAGGAGGTAGAAGCGTGAGAGAGGGGCAGAGAGCCGATCGGGACGGCCATCCGAAAACACGGTCCTATGGCGCAAACGCCTGGCCGAGATGGCGGCGGGGCGAGCCACGAGGCAGGGAGCGGCCCGCCCGCAGGGGTGTGGGGCGGGGCCGGAACTCGATGGGAGGGGACCGGAACTCGGAGGTGAGCAGTCAGTCAAGCTCTGACTCCGGCTCAGATACCGATTCACATTCGGAGGAGGAAATGGGGACAGATAGCAAAAATATCCCCATCCGAAATAAAGCTGCACCGCGAGGCGGAGAAATTCCTCTCATGGATTGGAGGAAAATTAAGATTGCGTGCACCATCTTGGCTCTATCGGCCATGCTAGCGTTCCTGGTCTGGGTGACAGACGGGGGGCAGAGGGTTCACTCACCAACAAACCCTAAGGATGTACAAGCGATTGTTAAAGCCATTGTGGATAAAGGGCTTCATTCTGCAATGGTCTCCACCCTCATAGATGGTGTTTTCAGGGGAGGCGACATGCTCCCGTTTGATATCAAACAAACTTGTAGACTGATCTTTGACGGGGGTGGGATGATCATTTTTAAACGAGAATGGGGGGACAACTGTAAGAGACAACTGGCCCAAGTAACTGGGACGGATCACACACTGTATGGTTCTAGCCTGCAGCGGTGAATGGGTACGGACCCAACAGTGATCACCCCCCAGGCGCAAGTCCAGGGCCTGAGGGCCCACGAAGGTATGGCAACTCGTGCGGCCAGAGAAGCTCCAAACAGCCGACGCCCCAACTTCAGAACAAAACTAATGAAAACTGAGTTTCTGTTCACAGGAACGGATCATCGGGCACCCCTGTAATCTGTATACCCCGGCGATATGAGAAGACAATAAGTCAGCAAGCGTCCTGTTTAAGCCTGAGAGTTCCACACTGGCAGAATCCAGACACCAGCGAAGCGGCCTCCGTGGGTGGGGGGCTGCAATGCGTTTGTGTGATCTTATCTTTGGACCTTGTATACTAAATATGCTTGTGTTGTTTGTTAAAAGTTGGTTAGAGAAAGTTAACATTATGTTGGTAGAACACCAACAACTACTTTAAGAGTGTATTTACTCAGGGTTACCAGTTACCTCTTAGTTTTCTCCTGGTTATGGTGCCTTATGTTTTTTAGTTAAGTTATGATGTTTACATCTTAAGATTGTTATATTTTAGCTAATTTGGTTGTGCATAGGGAGGGGGGAAATGTGGGTAGTTAGGGTCTGGCGGCCGGAAGATGTCGTGCTGTACGGAAAGGTGGAGCCCCTCCCTTGATGGACAGTAGCGTGTGGCCTGTGATTTAAGCAAGCGGAAGTGACGCTATGGGCCTCGGGTATATAAGCCCATGTGACTCGACAATAACCGCCATTTGCCATCCACCACATTGGTGTCTGTGAGCCCATGGACCGAGCGGCCTGGGGTTGGCCGCCGTGCCGTTCCTGAACCAGGTCGCCACTGCCCCCTGAAGGCAACAGACCCATGACCTTATGGGATAATATTTAGGCTTTTTCATCCCAGAACAGCAGGAAAACCAGTTTGATGGGCTGAACCCTGAACTGTTTAGACCTAGATCCTACGTGGAAGGATCAGTTTTTCAGTCTAAGTAAGTTGTTTACGTATTTCTGCTGCTACTTGCCCCTCTTCCCTCACCCATAAGCAATTATGACTGTCCCCACAGCACACGCATCAGTTGGGTTGCAAACCTGCTGCAGCGCTCTCTGGATGTCGATGCCCTGTCCCCAGGGCACGGCAGGGTTGGCAAGGCAGTCCCCGGCATTGCCGCGACGGGAGATGTCAATCCGCTGCCTCCGCAGGTTCTGAAACGCCTCAGCCATCACCCGGACCCCATCGTATGTAAGGGCCGATGTGTACTAGAAAGAGAAAAAGAGTTGCCCATTGCCAGTTAGGCTTAGTTGATCTCAGGTGCGTTACAGTGGTTTGGCAGCTTTTCAGATTATTTGTTCTGTTTTCACCCTCCCATCTCTGAAGTTCAGCAGCCTGTTGAACCCTGTAATCACTGCTGTCTTGGTGATTTGCAAAAGTTGATGCCTTCCCTCATAAAGGACAGGAAAGAGAAGCAGAAGCTCCTAATTTACCTTTTGCCCTTCTAGCCCAGTTGCTTTCAGATTGCTCTCCCTGAAGAGGACTCTGCCTTAAAAGCCATTCACCTGTTACCCAAGTCTTTCTGTTTAATTAGAATCATTGACATGAACTTCTAAGGAATACATTATTCCGTGTGAAGGCAAGACTATCAGATCTGCTAAACCAAGTAACAAGTCACTCCTTCTGGTCATGGATGGAGGCCAGAAAACTCCAATGTGCAAAAAGTCTGCAAAGAATGAGTTTATTCAAGCAGAAACTTGTACAGAAACAAGTAAAACTCTGGTATGAACAGAAACCATTGGAGTTAATTCATTTTCATGTGATCACCTACTGATTTATTTGTCTTCAGCTTTCTTAAAATATTTCCAAAGTTGACATTTCTATTGTGAAGTGTTTGCCACAAGTGTATTTGTTTCCAAATGTCAGATAGAAAAAAAAAAAAAGAAACACACAAAAACACAACTCCCCCCCCCCCCGCCCCTTGACAGTTTCAGTCTCTTCTGTTCTGTATTAGGAATTAAAATGTACTTGCCCTCTATTGTACGTTCTGATTTGAAATGTTCAGAAACAACATCTGGAAGGGCTTTATTATCGCTGGATATCTATCAAGTGGTTAAGTCAGTGCTTAAGGAGTTAATAAGGATTTTATTTTTTTCCATCCTGAACATTATGAGATGTTTAGTCCTCAGCTTTGAGAAAGATAAAAGCAAAAAGACTGAGTGAAGACACTAACTTGTGCACTGAGCAGGCAGCAGCTACTGCCTAGTAACATTTAGACAATGCTGAGGCACCTAGAACAGATAACGTTCATAATTATATTAAGTGACAGGTTTTCAGAGTGAGATTAAAGAGCTCAGTGTGATCATGAAGAGGTGAGAGTAACTTGAACTGGGCCAGAAGGACCCTAGCTTAAATGGTTTTCTTTATTACTTGCCTTTGGTCTTTTCCAGTCCACACGAGGATGCTCCCTGGCATCATTATTCCTCCACTGCTGCATGATCCTGGCAGGAACAGCATCCGTGTAATTCACCAACTGGAATCCAGTTACATTGGCTCCACTCTCCTTGAATTTTGTCAGATCAATATCCATAAATCCCTGGTACAGGAGAGAAACAGGAGACACTCATCAGATGAACACATTTCTGGGTGGATAACATGAAACCTATCTACCTAAGAATTTGTCAGCCAGCATAGAAAAAACCTCTTCCCTCTGCAAAGTAGGGGCCCAATTCTAAGAGAGGCTCCACTCCCCAACCACAGGGTGAACTTGCCTTTCACATGGGCAACAGAGGGACTCTGACCTGGGGATATCCTGCAGCTTCCATCCAGGGAAACAAATAGTCGTATCAATACCAGGTCGTTTGCAAGAATGCTAGCAAAATAATAGAAAAATAAAGTCCAAATAATGCTAGGATGAAAATAAAAAATTCTTGGCATTTGTGAGAAAGAATTATTCACCCAACCCTAACATTTAAGCACTGTCACTATTAGAGAGGCTACTTCTTGCCAAGTCACAGTTTGTAGGGAAAAACAAATCCTGGTCAATGAACTTTAAGCAAATCAAGAAGTGAGTGGTCAGCTAGCCTGCCAAAGGAGCCCATCTGTTAGAAAAGACAGGTTGTAGAATTCACTACTTTGGGAGAAGTCTTTTCTATTTATTTATTTATTGCGTTCAGATTAATGAAATATATTTCTTTAGTTTTCTTATTGTTCTCCCCTACCTCTTGCCCACTGGAAGTGATGAAAACAAATGTGCAAATACACACACTTTGGGGTGGTGTTATTGAATTAGTCATTCCCATTGGGACAGAGGCAAAAAAACAATTAGAGACACTGCAAGCAGTAAGGAGAAAAGGACATTTTGTGGCCTCCCAGCTTTGATCCCATCTCTTCAGCACTGCTCCTATTCAAAACTATTTGTTGTGATCCTTTGCCCAAAGCAGGTGCTTGACCAGAGGCTCGGTCCTCGGGCTTGGGCTGCTGTGTGCGGGAGAGGTGGAGTCCAGTGCTTTTTCTTTTGAAATACAGGCATAGGAGATGCAGTCAATTATTTTCCCTGGTACCATTAAAAACCACAATGCATGCAGGAAAATGAATTAGAGAATCATGCACAATGAAATCATCTGGGCAACAGAAGAGTTTGTTCAGGCTCTGCCTTCCCCCTCCATTGCCGGCTGCTGGTGTGTGTTCTCCTTTCAACCTACCACTGAGCTCCTCTCCCCATTTGCTCTCAAATATATGATGATGGTGTGAGTTAAAAAAGCCAGGGCACATCACTCCCATGAGACCCTGGTCAGGTTCCCAAAATGGTGCTCCCTGTGCATAGGCTGGGGGAGCTAATTAGCTCATTAACTTCCAAGGTCAGGATCAAGCCGTTAGATAGAAACCTGTTGTGGGAAAAGACAGCTTGCAAGGAAAAGACTAAATTGCTCTCTTACATCAGCGTCAGACTGAGAGAGTCATAAGTGACTCAAAAATGCCTTTAAAGACTCACACTTTTTCTTCCGGCTTTTTGTAAGCAATTTAACATCCACTTACAGGCTGAGGATTGGATGGGGATGTACAGATGCTCTAAATAGATGATTTGTTTAGCTTCAAAGTGCAGTGATTTAGGTTAAAAAAAAAAAAAAGTGATATTTTGTGAGTACATATTCCTCAGAATGCTGGTTTAACCCACATCAATCTTGTTTGTAATTGCTAGCGTAGGGGTTTCAGAAAGCCAGAGCTGTGATTAATGAATAGGAAATGCAGCATGGTAATTGTCTCTGACATCTTAATGCATTTCAGGCCAAGTGGTTTTTGACACGCAGAGCTCCTAAGGTTCAGTAAGAGGGACCTCACAGGTTGCCAACTGGTTATTCATGGCTAGGACCAAATTACACTGACATTTTGCTCCTGGGAGGTACTCAGGGGAAAAAGATCTGTCAAAAGAAACTACCACACAGCAACTTGAAGTTTGTGCCACCAGCTCCTCCTTGGAAGGCCTACAAAGGCACAAAGAAAGGTCCAAGTTCACAACAGAGTGTAAGGTGTCTGGTGTCCTTAACCCCTGCAAGAAGCATTTTTAAATAGGAAAATTCAAAAAAGACTGTGACACCAGAGACTAGACAGCAGTGGTTGAAAACACCGTCTTTCACTCAAACCAAACCATCCTGAAAGTGAAGAAAATATTTAACAGTATTCATTGGGATTTGTCTTATACAAAGCTTAAAAATAATCTGAATAGATAACAGGAACAATTTATTCCTGAAGACTATACTAATTTTATACTATTTTTTTTTTTTCTCCAGTGTTTTATTTTTATTTTTTAAAGTATGGAGAAATCTGAAGATTTTCCATTTGTTTAAGACAGTTGGAACCATAGAGGATGTCATTAACCTTGGGTATGTCCTTACATTTTGACTGTCATTAACTGCTTAAATAACTATTTTCACCTGTTATCCTTCCTCCACATGCCCCAGTACAAGGTCAGTACAGGACCTTGTACTAATTACAAAGTAATTTTAATTACTGCACCACTGAAATCTGCTCAGAGCAGGTCTGGGTGATGTGACAGAGAATGAACTGGGGAATACCAGAGGTCAGATATCTTAGAAAACAATTCCCAGAGGAGGTGAATTCTTGCTGGCTCACATACAAACAGGAATATATCATTTTTTTTTCAAATTGACTCTTGAAAAGGTTTTTACTGGTGAAGTGGCTTCAGGAATTAAATACTCTTATCTGTCTTTCTGGAAGACCAGTCAGTGCTTGTAAGAGCAATTAGAACAGACAAATCACAATATTTGCAAGCAAAGAAGTCATCAGTCTTCTGACATCTTGTACTAAAGGCAGCCACTTGTTGCAAAGAAGGGACCTTTTATTTGGTTTTCAATTGACCATACTTGGAAAACATAAACTAAAACCAACCAAACAAACCAACCCAATTATCCAGGCTAACCTTTAGTCCACAGAAGGTAGGGGATGGAGACGTGCAGAGCAGCTGTCCCACTTGGGACACGATCGTTTAACCCACTGCGGTATCTGATCACCAGATATCTTACTGTTAGTGGACTGAGCAGAGCACAGAGACTCTACCTAAGCAATAAATACAACCTGCCATCCTTAATATTAAAGTTTTATATAGTGCAGCTCCATGTGAGGACACTACGGGAAGAATTCAGGGGAATCTGAAGGCTGCAGCAGCTCCCCACTGCCAGCTGGGTGCCCGTGCCTGCATGCAGCCTGACTGCACCCTTGGGCAGGTGCCCTCTGTGCTTCAGTCCTGGACATGGCATCACAGATATTAATAATGCAAAGCCTCACACTACCAGGAAGTACGAAGAGAAAGAAGGTATAAAGTGAATGAGTGTTCCTTTACCTCGGAAAGCCTGTCTGACATCAGGAAGTGACTAAGGATTGACTGCAACCCACTGCTGTGGGGCAGCAGCAGACGTGCTTGCAGCAATGTGCTTTGTATCAACCAATTTGGAACAGAATCAGCAAAGAAATGCTTCCCTTTGCCATCAAATCAAATACAGCAAGGAGTGAAAAAGGCTGGAATGAGGTTCTCCATGGGATCTCAACGGCCAAACCCTTTTCAAAAAATTACCAGTGAATACTGCAAAAAGCTCTCTTTGCAGCCACGTCTGGAATGCAGCAGGCTGTACAGGAAAACAAGTGGAGCCTCTGGAATTTGATGCTATGTGAATTTCTTCAGGAGCTTTAGACCTTGGCTGTTTGGGATTTATCTGTTGGACACTCAGGTGTCTGGCCTCACCTTACTCAGCACTGCTGGTCCCCTGGGGAGGAAGAAGAGGAATGCAGGAGCCCATGCCCCAGCCCTGTGCCATGCCTGCACCCTGTGCAAGCAGACACAACAGGACTCAGAAGCGATGCAAAGCCCCCCTGGTCCCAGGCACTGCCCAGGACACAGGTACTCGGAGGGAAACAACACTTCTGCAGGCACAGTTCTCTCTGGGACCCATCAAAGCCATGCTGGCAGGGGCACTGTGGCAGCCAGCCCAGCCCCTGCCCTACAGCAGGATTAGCTGTCCCTTTTATTTAAGTTCACTTTGCAAAATAATCTCGGCAAAGCAGAAAGCACAACCCCCTGCCTGTGTATGCTGGGAAAATGCCTGGCTTTCTCTGAATGCCATCAAATTAGCAGGCTGACAATAAACTACAAAAATCTGGACCCATCCGTGCTGACGGGCTGAGACAGCCTCCCTCCTCCATGCCTGCTCTGACTCACAGCATCTGCAGCACAGTTCAAGCAACAGCCAGGCTCGGTTCAAAGGAGGCAACCTGCTCTTTAGCCCGTTCTCTCTCTCCATTAATGAACATTGCAAAGCAATCACATGGAGAAGTCCTGCTGTTAGTAAATAGCATGGGCATCTGGTAAAGACCTTCATGCCTTCTAATAGGAAGCCGAACAGCACTGGGAAGGATTCTTTCCTCATTTTGTTTTCCTTGCTTCATCTGTTCTTTATGCTGTGCTTAAACTGAAACAATTTTTCAGCCAAAGGTTGTTTTACTGTCCCATTCGCTGCCTTGGTTCCGGGGAGAGGTGTCAGCAAGTCACACATTTATATTCCTCTCCACTGCTTGTGAGCTCAGTCATCAAAGGAAATGCATAATGCAGGAAGACTGATGACTTGAAATGGGCCTCATGAATCCATCTTGATTAACTGGTCCAGGAAGGATCTGCCTGGGAAAGAAAGTCCCCAGCAATGAGCTACCTCCTTATTTATACCCTGAGCATCACTAGGAGCCAAGTCACCGAGCAGGCAGTGCAGACTGCTGTCAGGTGGCAGAGGGAAACCTCCCTCCTGTGTGCACGACCCTCAAGCCTGCCAGCTCTGCTTAGTTCCCTGCACGTCCCACCTCTCCCTCTCGTTTCACTGCAGCAGCATCCTAAACCTCTGCCACCTCTTCCCACACAGAGGATGCCAGTGCCATTGCTCCTGATGCGGATATAAGGTCACAAGTCAGATGGACGGGACACCAGCCTGCTCAGCCCCTGGGAATGTGGTAGGTAGCAGCAGTCTTCTCTTCCCTGCTTATTTGCAACAAGCCATGACAGAGCACATCTCCTCCATACCCACTTTGTCCTGA